AAATTGCAATGATGCACACGACATACGTAACACGTCTGAACCTGAATGTGACTCTGCCTTGATACGACTGCTCTGCCGCTCGGCATAGGCATTTAATTGCGAATTGACCAATGAGGGCTCCTGTTTTACGTCGAGACGGCGGCGTTAGCGTGAAAATCACCCGAACCTTTTGTTTACAGCCGGTCTATCTCTTATCTGAATATACTGTAGTTACCTCTATCAAGTCACCTGCTACAGGGAGTGATGAAATTAATTTGAACATGCTAGGGTACTGCTTACCAGAAATTTTATTGTATTTAACACATATTGTTAATATATGCCTTGAGACCGGGACTTTTCCTGATGCTTGGAAGGAAGCTATTATCATCCCTTTAGCCAAAGTCAATAATCCAACCACTCATAATCATTTGCGGCCTGTTAGTTTGCTGTGCTTTTGTTCGAAGGTATTAGAGAAAGCAGTGTACATTCAACTAGTGGAATATTTAGAGCAAAATAACTTGTTTTCTCCCCATCAATCAGGATTTCGTGCTACTTCAGTTTTGCTCCATCTAACTGACAACATCGTAGGTAACTTAGACAGACATATTAATACCATATTAGTGATGATTGATTTCTCAAAAGCCTTTGATACAGTTAATCACAAAATCATGTTGAGCAAGCTGAAGTACATTGGATTATCTGATATATCGCTAAGATTTTTCCAAAGCTACTTGGCAGAAAGAAAACAATTAGTTAAGACGGTTAGGGGCGTCTCTTCTAGTACTGTGGTTTCGTCTGGCGTTCCGCAGGGGTCAGTTCTGGGACCCCTGCTATATTTAATTTACACTATAGACTTAGATTCATGTGTGGAATTTTGTTCTATACAAACGTATGCTGATGACACAATTATCATTTCACTTCACATATGCTCAGTTAAATGAAGTGTCGGTTAAAATTAATACTGACCTAACAAATATTAAGGATTTTTGTAAAAAGCACTGTCTCAGGATCAATCCTGAAAAGAGTTCAAGTATGCTTTTTTCTCCGAAACACATGTATAATAACATAAAGGAAGCAATTGTACTCATTATAAATAACGAGCGCATCCCCATGGTAGAACATTCTAAAAACCTGGGTGTTATCTTGGACTCTAACTTGAAGTTTGATAGACACATCGGTTACCTGTCTCAAAAAACATATGCCAAATTAAAACTTTTATATTCCAACCGTTTCATTTTAATCTTTAAGACTAGGAAAAAATTAGTTGAAAGCTTGATCCTGTCATCTTTGCAACATTCTCTGATTTTATTCTATTCTGATTTGGATTCGTCGGATCGGTATAGGTTACAAAAAATTCAAAACGGCTGCTGCAGGTTTGTGTTTGGACTTCGTAAATATAGTCATGTCTCTTCGAAGATTAAAGATTTAAATTGGTTAAAGATGGAATTACAGTTTGTTTATGCTATGAAGGTGTTTGTCCATAAAGTAGTTCACACAAAAAAACCACCGTACATTTTAGAAAAGCTAGTACCAAGAGGCAACATTAATCAGAGAAATCTCAGACACAACCTAAATTTTGCGATGCCAGTCCACTATACAGCCCTTTTCCAGAAAAGCTTCACATTTCATGCTGCCAAGTTATACAACTCTACAGATGAAATATGTCGCAGTAAAACAATAGTGCCTTTCAGGAGACTCGTTAAGAAGCTGATGGGGTATTAATAGTTCAAGTGTGCATTTGTTTCTTTTTCTTATTATTACTATTGTTTGTTTGTGTATCGAGTTTAACTGTGTTACTCTTTCGTACACAGTGAGGTTAAGTGTAAGAGTAGCCATTTGGCTAAACTTCGCCTCACTGATGTATGCTGATTAATAAAGACATTTATTATTATTATTATAATATATTTTATTACCTGGCATAAAATGTTCAGTAATTAAATATCTTCGTGGCATGAATCAGCCTCTTTCAGTCTAAGGCCCGTATCGTAAGTCGTCCCTACAATTGTAGGGCGCCTTTATGGCCTTCTTGATTGTCATAGTTTTCTACTTCTCCGTGTCAGAACTCTATTTTGAGGTTATGTCACAAACATCTATTTGCATCAAATTGTGCTTGCTTTTGAGTTATATCATGTTTTATCAGCCTGAAATTTCCTACAATTGTAGGGACGACTGACGATACGGGCCTAATAAAGACTAATGCTTCTATTACAGTTTTTTCACTTCTTCTTATAACCATAAACTTTCACAATTCTGTGCATTTTTTTGTTTGATGACATATCTATTTTCTTCGTGATAATATCGTGAAAGAAATGTTTTGAATGTATTTATTATCAATTGCATAGAAGATGAAGAGTGGGAGTTTCTGGCGAAGATATAATGAATGCAAGATCTCTCCTTTTCTTCATGAACTGGACCTTTTTTTTCAATTTATTATGGTGGCATTCAGTATTGAGCGTAATGAATACTGTGCAAGTTCAAATGAAAAAGAAAGAAATAGACTTGATGATGGCTCAAAGGTGCATTTCAGCAGCATTAAAAAAATTAAAAGATTTGAGGAGCGAAAGCACATACGATAATTTCGTTCTGAAGGCTAAGAATAATGGGAAGAGATGGAATGGGAAAATCCGGGTTTTCCCATTGTCAGAAAGTGGAAAATCAAAAAAATTTACGACGAAAAAGCTGCTGACTCACCACTGGAAACACACGAAAAACATCGAATAAATTACTACGAAGTTTTGGATTCAATGAGTAACGAATCGCAAGAACGTACTGAAGGATTTCTCTAACCTCTATATCGAAAGATCAGTAGCTAATACACTCAATTTGGATTCTGCGACGGATGTTTTTGCTGAACGAAAAGCAAGTCGCGGATTCAAATTAGAATAATTCTGTTATTTTGTATTGAATAAAAAATGTTTGATCTCACAGTCTCTACTTGATTCAGGCAATATAGACATATAGTAAAAAAATAGAGGTAACAGTGCGCAGCAGCTGCTATTGTGCATAATAATAATAATTTATTGGTACTATTACACAAAAATGTGTTTGCACAGGTCATTTAAAGTAGAACATAAAAGAGTAAGTAAAAGTAACAAACAATACGAAAATAAGACAAACGTAAAACACAAAGTGGCAATAAAAGGTAAAAAAAAACTTGATAAAACTATTTTAAAATTTAGAGGAACAATAAAATAAGATGGTTAAAAAGTTATGAAATACTAATCATTTTTTCATGTTTGTACTCAAATGTCCTTACACACGTCTGGAGAACGATAAAATATAATACAAAAATAACACATAAAAAAACAAACGAAAACAAAGTAATAAATAGTCAACAATTATGGAACAAAGTCGGTAAAATCATTATTTAAAAACTCATCTATGCTGTAAAAAGCTTTCGTCACTAAATATCTTTTCACAGTTGCTTTAAAAATGGTTGAGTTGAGTGTTTGACAAAACTTGGGCAGCGCATTAAAAAATTTCACACCGAAATAATTACTACCGTGTCTAGTTTTTGAAAGTCTTGTGTACTCTGGTATTAATTCATCGTTGAACCTTGTGTTATATTTGTGAATCTCTTTCGGAGTTCTGTAATCATCGTAATTATTTTTAACGTGGATCAGACATTCCAGTATATATATGCATGGCACAGTTAAAATTTTTAGGTCGATAAATGTCGTCTTGCAACACTGTCTGAAATATAAGTTTGCTATTATTCTCAAGCATCGTCTCTGAACAGCAAACACCTTCGATACATGACATGAATGTCCCCAAATCAGTATGCAGTATTGCAAGTTAGATTGGAAGTAAGCATAATAGGCTGTCATTAAAGTCGATTTTGTTACGTAGGTATTTAAACTACGTATCATATATGTTATTTTAGATAACTTCTTTGATAAAGAAGTGATGTGTGATTCCCAAGTTAAGCTTGCATCAATAATCACTCCAAGAAATTTCACGGGCTCTACTAAATCACTTCTATGTGGACGAGTACTGAGTAGAAGAGATTGAGTTTTCGCTATGTTGATTGACAAACTGTTGGCATTAAACCAGTTTTGAATGTTGTCAAAATGCTGCTGAGAATCGAGCAATACATGATCAAAGCTACTATTGGAGGATATTGATGTCGTGTCATCCGCAAATAATATATACTGATTGATGCTACAGTTTGGCAGATCATTGATGTAGATCAAAAAAAGAATCGGTCCCAAGACACTTCCTTGGGGAACTCCGTGCTTAATATGCACATTGTTGGATAAACAATTTTGAAAACTAACATACTGTCTTCTATCTGATAAATAAGACGCAATTAAGGACAGGCTATTATTACTAAAACCATACAGCGACAACTTTTGAATCAAAATGTGATGTTGGACACAATCAAATGCTTTTGTAAGATCATAGAAGTTAGCGAGGGCAAACATGTTATCTTCCAGACATTTGTTGATGAAACTGATAAAATTGTTTATTGCTGCTTTCGTTGATCTGTTGGTACGGTATCCAAACTGGTTGTTACAGAATAAATTGTTAACTTCGAAGTATTCACATATCTGATTCTTCAGAAGAATTTCGAAAATTTTTGCTATAATTGGTATTATAGAGATGGGTCTGAAATTACATGGATCATTCTCACAGCCTTTCTTGAAGAGTGGCACAATCTTTGCAAGTTTTAATAAGGCAGGAAAGACATTATTTTCTATACACATGTTTATCAATTTTGTTATAGGATATACTAACAAGTTATTTAAGGTCTTCATAATTTTAACATCGATGTCATATGGATCTTTACTTTTAGAATTCTTTAAGCTTTTGATTGCGTCTCGAACATCATTGAATGAAACAGTTCGAAAGTTGAAATGTAGTGTATCACTAGTCTGTATAAAATCTTTGAAGTTCGACTGGGTAGCTGGAATTTCAGCGATAATGGTATCAGCAATGCTGACGAAGAAAGAGTTTAAATCATTCGCGCTGAGAGTAGACGAATGTGCTTTTGATGATTGCACACCATTGGATTTAATCACGTTCCACATAGCTGCTTGTTTATCTGACGCTCTACGTATAAATTTATCATGAGCATTTTTTTTCCTAATTCTGATTTCTGATCGGTACTTTGATTTGAAGACATTAATCTCCTTCTTTGATACTACTTGGGGATTATCTTTATTAATTTGTGTTATTAGTTCCAAAGTCTCTCTCATATGAGCCAATTCGTGATCAAACCAGTTGATTTTGTTGCGACAACCCTCTGATACTAACCTAGATTTGATTGGCAAGCACTCAGCGACATTATTTGTTAAGATGTTCATGAATCGTTCGAGTTTTGTGGTCAGTGGTAAACTAATATCAGACAAAAAGATCCAGTCGACTGTTTCAATTTTACTGTATAACTTGAAAAGACCTTCATCAGTGACAGGCCTGTAGTTTATTCTCTTCCTAACAGGTTTTAGAGTTTTCAAATTAAAATGAAATGCAATACCTAAATGGTCAGAAAAACATGTATCAAAGGCTTCTACAACTATGCTTGACATGTTTATATAATTGTAAGCCGCTGTTAATATGTGACATCCTTATTGCCAGCAAAATCTGTAGTTGGAACTTTATCTGAACAATTTAGATGGATTTTACGTTGTCGAAAAATTTTAGATCCGCGTGAATATTGAAACAGTTGAGTTAGATGTATTATTGGCACGTTGAAGCAGCATAAGATTAACTTTTTGCATCAAAGTGGCCGTTCAAGTATTACGTAAGCAGATTTATTACAATTATTTACCCCCCATCCTCCTTGTCAGCAAAAGTAAGCAAAGCTCTTACCCCCTCCTCCCATACTTACGTAAACATTTGTCAATTAAAGTATTGTTTTTTTTAATATTATAATTATAACGTTATAATTATAATTTGAAAAATAAGAAAATAGATTTAGGATAGAGATTATATTTTACTGATACGGTATTCAACATAGAGTAAAGGCCAAAAATATTATACCTTACTAACATAACAAACTTATTTTAAATTTTTGGTACATATATTAAATTCAAATTAAAAGTCTTCAATCCATGAAACCCGAATCCATGATTCTAAGTTTTCGATGACATTGGATTGCTTCGATTGCTGCTTAGTGTTGTGAGTTTGCTCGCTTTCATCGGATTTTGGAATGTCTACGTCGTTCTCATCGAGCCATTCAACATCATGGTGCTCTAAATTTTGAATAATGCACATCAGTTCATTAGCACGACGAGGAGCGACTCTTACAGGTCCAACTTTCCTATCGTTGTGCGTGTTTACCTTTTTATGGATTTTTGCGATTCTAATTGAAAAGATCTTCTGAAGATTATTTCGCGATTCTAAAGCCTATTTATGTTGCCTATTGAAAGGCTTCAAAGAACTGATGCAACCGTTTCAAAAATCTCGAATCAGTATTTAGGATGCAGATTTTAACGAACAATGCATCACAGGGATGTCTTTTAAGTTTTGCATATAGAAACAAAGTAGGCCGCGCGGATCGAACGTCAGTACTGAATCTTAAACTGATTCTTAAGTATCACCAAGTCATTAGAAAAATGGAACTCCACCGAGAACATTTTCGCGCCATAATTTATTACAACTTTCAGAGACAATTATCGCAACAAGAATGCGTTGCTGTACAAAATTTATTGGTGGACGTGCCACTGAGTATTTACAGGGTTTCAGCATGATGGCTGCCCAGCGCACTATGCACTCTCAGTGAGAGAGTATCTCGACCAAAACTTTCCAGGCAGATGGATAAGGCGGTCTGGTACAATACCGTGGCCAGCCCGATCACCTGATTTGAATCCTTTAGATTTTTTTACTGGGGGACTGTAAAAGAAAAAGTGTATTTCAAGCCGATTCAAAATGTAACTGAGCTACGGCAAAGACTATTGGAAGCAGCTGAGTTTGTTAATAACCGTGGATTCGCTCGTTTAATAACCCGATCTTTTTTAAGAAGATGTCGAGCGTGTATTGCGGCTGAAGGAAAACAGTTTGAGCATTTGCTGTAAAGGTAAATCATCATCAGCAGCATTTTGACGCCCACTGTTGTGCAAACAGTTATCCTTAAGCGTCCTTGTGCGTTTTCATAATCGCTGTTTAATTAGGAAATTTTGAAAAATTTTCATCAGTTTTTCTTCAAATAAAAATTGTGCATAAGTTAACGAGTAATTTTCTAAGTGTTATACAATTTTGGAATCCTTATTAAATGCGCCAACTTTTAAGGTTACTTGCCAAACTCTCATAGTACATTTTTTCCAGTACAGCCAGTTAAAGTTGAGCAAAGTTTTACTTTGGAATACTTGGTTGGGAAATAAGTGGCAATTTTTCCTGAACGAGAAAAGTTGGCAGTAAGGTTGAGACACCAGTTTGAAGATGCATTATTCATCATTACATTGTAAAAATAAAATCCAAAAAAAGTTAATATTTGTAGTAACAGGAGTTGACAGACTGCCGTAGGGTGTGAAATTTCTATATCTTATTCAAAGACCTATAATTTTCAAAACACATACATAAAATTTTTTTAAATATTTTTCTGATACCTGTTATGACTTTGCCTATCACACGGTTTCGGCTTGACGTCGACTTCTGGGACACCCTGTATATAGTCGTTGATTAGAATAGGTGTTATTTTTGAGTGTATTCGGTAAAGTGTAGTTCAAAAACATGACCAGAGGAATTACATTGAATTTGCAAATAAAATAATTGATTATTTTAAAATATCGATCAGGCATTAAACAAGCAACCATAGCCAAACAGCTGAATTTAAACCGATCGGTAATTTGCAAAACTATTAAGCTGTTTCGCCTCAGAAAATCCTAAGACTGGTAGACCGCGGAAAACCACACCTAAGATTGATAGGAAAATTAAAACACTTGCTCTTAAAAATCCATTAACTACTGCTGTCGACATAACAGCTCAACTTGAAGAAGTAAATATTGGTGTCCGCACTGTTCGAAGACGTTTGAAGGAGAGTGATTTACCAGCAAGGAGACCATCTAAAAAACCCTTTATTTCCAAGAAAAATCGGACCGCCCGTATTCAATTTGTTACGATCATTTGAACTGGTCAGAAACAAGGTGGCATTATGTATTATTTTCTGATGAAAGTAAATTTAATGTATACTAAGTGACATATAAATCCGAACATCCAGTTTAAAAAGTATTAGCTGCTTTGTATACGACAATTGCTTTGTATATTATGTTTCTCTATTTTTGCTCGTTGTATTCTCTAATAATAATTGTTAGTATAGTTTTATTAAAGCTGAAATTTTATTTTCATGTTGGCTTTGAATTACATTAAGTTATAATAAAACATAAGTGTTTAGTTCACTTTAATAATTTAATAAAATCTTTACAAAAATAAAATGTTTCTCCACTTTTGCTCGGTACTGTATCTTCGTTTTCTTGATTTTCCTGATGAGTCACTTCAGTTATTTGGTATAATTGATTCAAATGATTTTATTTAAATCGTTGCAACACTGCATAAAAGTTCTTGCCCAATAATGACCCACTTCTCAAACTAGGTATTAATACCTACCTAGAGTAGGTTCATTGAAATGTTAAAACCAAAAATCTCAAATGTTTTTATATTCATTCTGTTTAACAATGGAAATTATGTTACAAGAGTGACAGCTACTCGTACCTATTCATACGTGTTTTTCGCCCACGGACGCTCGAATCTTATTTTCTGCATGATCCGTATAAGCTATCTATAGATCTGAACCAGTTCCAAACCTTGAATTTATACTATTTTATATTTCGGTTCGACGCTAGGCTTATGTTTCACTTCCGAGCAATTACTCATACTCTCCCATTGAAAGTTTGGGACTTGTTCTTATTTTGCTTGCAGATTTCCGAGTTCTTTGATTCTAATCAAATCGAATATTGAATAATAGTACTTTAGTTTAGTTGAACTACCGAGCTGCTGTGGAACTGTGTACTATCAAAATTAGTAACGTTCTGTCAACAACACGGCCATTCAAAGCCGGTGTCCCTTAGGGTTCGGTTCAGGGACCTCAATGCTAAACGATTCCGAAAAAAAATCGCACACTCAAACAGCAATATCGATATTATTTTAATTTACGATGAAATGCTACCGAAGCTTCACGAGTGCATGCATATCGTTTTTCAAGATCCCTTCTTGCTTGAGGCGAAATGTTTAATTTATAAAATTGAAGTTGACGAACTTAGCTATCTGCTCGATTCATTCGGAAAAGCAGTCCATTATAAAAGCAAGCTACACTTGGCTACATCGAGCATATACGTGTGCATTTGAATCTACATACAGTAATGGACAAAAGTATATAGACAAGTATGAATATTTACCATAAATATGTACCTTTAGAAAACGAATTCATACTTCATTGCTCTTAAACAAATGCGTTATTAGTAGAAAAACTAAATTCCTTGTTTTTACATTATCTGCAATTATCTGAATATAAGCACTTTTTTTGAGGGACAAAAATATTAAGACAAATTCTTTTCAACATTAGTTTAGTACAGTTTCGTGTGAGAAGAAGATTAGTTTGTGTTCACCAAGTATTGTGGAATAAGTTGAGTGATTTTAAGACCATGCCGCGTGGTCCAGAAATTTATTTCGATGTGAAAACTAAGATCATTGAGTTATACAAAGATGGTCATCGTCAAATCGACAATGCCAAAAATTTGAATCCGAAGCGTAAAGCAGTTTGGGCAATATTAAACAAATATAAACAAAAAGGCATCTTGGAAGCCTCTAAGAGAAGTGGTCGGCCTAGAAAACTAAATGCTAGATCAGTTAGATTAATAAAAGTAATTTCGTCCAAAGATCCTTTTAAAACCCCAAGACAAATAAAAGCCGAAATCGAGATAAAAGGAATTGTCAGTGTTTCTACGAAAACTATAAGTATAAGATTAAATGATTTGAAGTTATTTGCACGTCGCCCGAGTAGGAAGCCGCTAATCTCGATGAAAAACCGTAAGGACCGATTACAATTTGCACGGTTGCCTCTTGATTGGAGCATCTGTGACTGAAAGAGGGGATGTTTCAGTGACAAATCCAAATTCAATATGTTTGGATCAGATGGTGTTCATTACGTTATACGTCCTAGTGGACAAAGATTAAACCCCAAGTACCCTTTGCCCACTGTCAAACATGGAGGCGGGTCTGTTTGGGGGTGCTTTTCGGGGTTTGGGGTGGGACCTTTACATAGAATAGATGGCATTATGGATAAGTTCGCATACACAGACCTACTAAAGCATGTCATGTTACCCTATATGGAAGACAATATGCCCTTAAGATCAATCTTTCAGCAAGAGAATGACCCGAAGCACACTTCAAATCTCGCAAAGAAATTCTTTCTGGATGAAAAAATACCAGTTCTCAAATGGCCTTCACAGTCTCCCGATGTAAACCCCATTGAAAATCTATGGGAATACTTAGGTAAG